CCCCTACCCTTCCATAAGTAGGTATGTGTTTCTGGAAGCCTTGCATTTTACAAAAGGTTGATGTTCGGCGTTCAGCGGCCATCGGCTGGGAATCATTTGGGGGTGATTGGTGGACGGTTTTCGCAAGGCGTGTGCCGTTTTTGCCGATTTGTCGGTTGCCGCTATCTGCCACGATGTGTTGCTATCTGCCGTTAGTCCGCCAGGATCTTGACTAAGACATGCTGCCATAAATCGAGTAGGGGGTCGACTATAGGATGGATTTGCCCAACAATTGGTTGCTTCCGTCGTAGTTTTCTTGAACGAGACGTGGCGGGAGGACCCTGAGGAACAATTTGAGACGGAAGACGGCCACATCTTCATGGGATCTGGAGGGGCTCGGAGTGGGGTAGCAGTTCTTGTCCACAAACGGTGGGCGCACGCGGTCACATCTTTCACAGCCTGCAGCGATAGATTGTGTTGGGCAGACATTGACTTCGACACGTTTCTGTTTCGATTGGCTTCAGTGTACATGCCAGACTCCACGTATCCAGAAGAGGACGTGGAAGCTATGTATTCGCAGCTATCTATCATGAGACGCAAAGCGAAGCTTCATAATCGGATTTTTGTTGTTGGCGGGGATTGGAATGCAGTTTTGGGGAACGGCGGCGATTCGTGCGAAAACAGATTCGTCGGCCAGCACGGGATGGGTCACCGGAGCGACCGAGGAGACACTCTCGAGGCATGGTTGTCCGAAGAAACGTTATCAGCTGTAAGTACTTACTTCGTTATGCCGGAGAGTGACAAGTGGACCCACACCCATTGCGGCAACAAGCGGCATATTGACTTGTTCTGCGTGTGCTCACGCGCAAAGGGTCTCATGCGTTTTTCTGGCGCGGTACATTCCATAAGTGTTGGTCTGGATCACAGAGCAGTTGCCCTGGAGCTGAAGATGCCGACTTACCGGCGGTTGCGGGAGAGAAACCAACACAAAGCAACGCATCGTTTTCAGCCACAGAGCGGGTATGGTGCAACCGTCGATGCGATTTTGTGTCGTCGCATCAAACGGTTTGAGGAATCTGGAGCAGCACCGTCAGCTACGATGATGTGTGAGAGTTTGGAAGACTGTCTGGCGCGAGCAGCTCAGGACGGAGGCGCGGCGAAGAAGGAACCGCGCCAGGCAGTCCCGCCTCACATTTTGCAATGGATGTCTGAAAGGCGGTTTTCCCGGGCCGCAAAAGGGCAGGGCGAAGGTCCGCAAAGGTTATCGGCAAAGAGAGACAACGCGAATGAAGAAAATGGGAACGAGAGCGAAAGGCAGAATGCACGGATGAATATTGCAGAATGTCAAGAGCATCGGCCGCACCCAAGATATCCACATTCTTTATATATATATATATATATATATATATATATTGAAAAAATAATAAAAACGGCTGACCAGCGTCGTTGACGACTCGGGGAACCCCCCGTGCTCGTGCTCGGACGGACAAGGCATCGCCGATGTTTTTGGCACGTTCTACGAGGAGCTCTACAAGTCAAGGGGGACCAGCAGCAGCCTTGAACGAGACGCCGGCCGCACTGGAGTGACAGCTGATATTCCGTCAGTTACAGTTGAAGAACTAGAGGAGCACGTCAGACACTTGAAAAAAAGGCAAGGCTGCAGATCGGACTGGCGTGGTGGCTCAAATGTTCAAAGCTGGCGGGCCGTATCTCAAAGAAGTGTTAGCGAACATTTTCACGGGTATCCTTGCGCGCGGAGATGAGCCACCAGGGTCGTGGAGACACACTTGCGTCAAGGTGATCTTCAAGAAAGGGGATCCTAAGCTTCCTGGAAAGTACCGCCCAATTTCCATTCTTCCCATATTGTATAAGCTCTTCCTCATGGTGCTGAACGGGCGACTCGCGAAATTCCTCGACGCAAAGCAGTATGTGGACCAAGCTGGGTTTCGCAAGGGCTTTGGGTGCGATGATCATTTGGTAAAGCTTACGCTCGTCCACGAGAAGGCCAGGGAGTGCAATTTGAAGCTTTGGGTCGCTGCCGTTGACTTCGAAAAAGCATTCGGCACCGTGAGCCATTCTGCTATCTGGAATTCTCTGCGCCAGCAAGGGGTTCCGGAGACATACGTGCAAGTATTGCGCCGGCTGTATGCAGGACAAACAGTCCAGGTGGTATCTGATCGGGAGAGCCGCGTGTTCAAGCTTGAGAGAGGCACGAAGCGGGGCGACCCAATGTCACCAGCTATATTCAACGCAGTTATCGAGACAATCACGCGGGACCTCAAGAGTAAATGGCGGCAAGAGAGGCTTGGACTCAAACTTGGTTCACATTATTTGACCAACTTGAGGCTCGCAGACGACATTCTCTTGCTTGGGACCATCAGGGCGCAGGTGCGACGAATGTTGTCCGACTTGAACGAGAGGGCGCGCAGTGCCGGTTTGCAGCTGCACATGGGCAAGACGAAGATCCTGTCTAACGAGGCAGACCGCCGGGGAGCGTTGCGACAGAAAGACGTTGAAGTCGGAGACGGGCGGGTCGAAGTCTTAGAGTTCAACGACAGCTTGAAGTACCTAGGAAGGAAATTAACTTTCAGTGCGTACCACGATGTGGAAATCAACCACAGGATCTCGAGAGGGTGGGCTGCTTTCGGAAAGTTCAAACCCGAATTGTGTAATCGGCATTATCTCTTACACTCCAGATTGAGGCTATTCGACGCTGTCGTGTCTTCTACGGTGCTGTATGGGAGCGGTGCCTGGACGCTCACTGCAGCGCGAGAGCAAAAGCTCAACGCAACAATGCGGGAGATGTTTCGGAAAATTGTGGGCGCGCGGCGACTGGAACATGAATCGTATGTTGATTGGAGTGTGAGAGCTACTCAACGGGCAGAGGAGGCATACTCGAAATCGGGATTGCCCACGTGGCTGCACTCGCAGAGCGAGAGGAAAGCCAACTTACATCGTAAGCTAAAGTCACGCAGTGACCACAGATGGGCAGGTTGCGTTGCGATGGGCCCCTTCCGTTTGCAGATCTATTGGAAGGCCGTTGAAACGATGGACTGACTAGATCTTGTCTGCTATTTCTTGTCTGGCGCGTGCGAGAATCATCGAGAAGCCTGGGCGTGGGAACTTTCAAGAATGGGGCGTGAGAGAATCACCAAGAAAGTGGGAACCGCGCGCGCAGTAGCCCGCGCAGGGCGCGCTCCGGCGCATGCTGCCTCTGACTCTGACTCTGACTCTTCCGTCGGCGCTACGAGCAATGCGTAGAATGCTCCGTAGATCTACGGAACATTCTTCGCATGCCGCTGGTTCGACTGAGTGTAACGTTGGGGTGATCAATTACGTAGCCGGCCCCATCTTCGAGGAAAACACTGACCGTAACATCCACAGTCGAGGTTGATTCGAATGTCAACCTTCAAACATGAAGGGCTCCACTGTGTCCTGTGCTTCGCGAGCCGTACCTTCGCATTCCCATGGCAATGTGGCCCCCCGAAGGGCCTTGTGTGTTCTCGCGTGTCCTCTTCAATCAACCCCGACTGCAGTGCGCCATCACGCGGGACGAGCGAGGGGTGAAGTGAGAAGGAGGACACCTTGTCAGAAGGTGGCGTGGCTTCTCAGAAGCCCTCCAGCATTTTGAGAGTTGCCGTGCCTTCGGGGAAGGGCTAGAGCACCTCTCAGAAGGCCCGAGAACTTCCGAGCCTTCTGAGAAGGCCCGCCCCTTCTCACGCCCCCCTCCCCCCAGGCTCGCCGCCGACTCATCTTGACTGGGACGGGCTTCCATGCAAACGGACGTGCAGCCAACACGCATACCAAGTATTCTATAGCAGTTGTCCAAGGCTGCCTTTGCATCTCTGCCCCTTCGGCCCATCCCTTCGGCCCATCCCCGCTCAGAAAACGTCGCCATGGTTTTCCAAGGCCCTTGCATTCTGTCCGCGCATCCTTACTGTATCTGGGGTGGCTTCGGATTCGGGCGAATGGGTAATTTGCAAAAGGGGTGTCAAACATGTACGCAATTTCTCGTGCAAGTGTTCGTGCACTAGCAGCACGTGGTTGCCACGCGCCATGCGCCGCAGGATGGACTACAGTGGGGGCCCATGCCAAGAAACACCCTGCTGGCCTCCAGCGTGCCCTGGGTTTCTTGGGTTTTGATGGTGTTGCTATGGAGAGCGACGTTTGATGGGTTTTGATGGTTTTGCAATGACGTCCCCACGCCAGAAATTAATGGACGTCCTGGGGTTCCAGGGTTAGGTTTCTTGTGGAAGGTCTCTTGTGGTCGAGCCCCTACTGTATTGCACTTCATGTTTTGCGACCCCCTTACGAAAGACCCCCCTTGCCCAGAACCAATGGCTGTAGTCAACCTCCCAGACCCTGCCACCGACCCCATCCCTCATTCAATCGGCTGTTTTCGCGGGGCGCGCCCCGCTCGCAAAGCGTTGACATGTCCTTCCATGGTCTTTGCACCGTTGCCGCGCATCCTTTTTAGACGGGTTGATTGTAGTTAAATTCCCCGACCTTGCCGCCGATGGTATCTTCGTCCTTTTCCTTATCTTCATCCGCCTCCTCCTTGTCCTCTTCCTTGTTCTTTTCCGTCGTCTTCCCCTCAATAGAAATGAACCCTTATAGGGGACCATGAAAATGAAGCTTGGATTGAGGGTGTGTTCAAACATCGTTGATGAGTCTTGGGTTTGCATTGGCCCTCCTCCCTCCTCCTCCTCCCTTTCTCCCCTTCCTCCTCCGCCTCCTCCTTCGCCTCCACCTCCTCCCTCCTCTCCCGCCTACTCCTCCTCCTTGTCCGTTTCCTCCTCCTCCTCCTCCTCCTCCTCCTCCTTCTCATCCTCCTGTTCCGCCTCCTCCTCCTCCTCCTTGTTCCCCTCCTCCTCATCCTCCTCCTCCTCATCATCATCCTCATCTTCATCTTCATCCTCCCCCTCCTCCTCCTCCTCCTCCTCCTCCTCCTCCCTCCTCCTCCTCCCCTCCCTCCCTCCCTCCCTCCTTCCCTCCCTCCCTCCCTCCCTCCCTCCTGCCAGGAGGCCCACGGCGGCCCTGGCCCTCGCCGACGAGTGGCTCACGGCCGCCGCGGGCCCGGGAGCGCGAGGGCTGCCCCGCGGCTTCGTGGAGAACCTGCGCAGGCGCGGGCCCCGGGGCCGCCCGGGGAGGGCTGTCGCAGGAAGGGAGGAGGAGGAGGGGGAGGCGGAGGCGGAGGCGGCGGAGGAGGAGGAGGAGGAGGAAGCGGAGGAGGAGGGGGAGGAGGAGGGGGAGGAGGAGGAGGGGGGGGAGGAGGGGGAGGAGGAGGAGGAGGAGGAGGAGGAGGAGGAGGAGGAGGAGGAGGAGGGCCAAGTACAGTCGACCCGCACAGCAAGTATAAGCGACTTTCCCAGGGTGCCCTTGCGTCCTTAATTACCTCCTCGGCCCATCCTTGGCCACTTTCGTTGACCGCACCCCGCTCGAAGAGCTGCGACATGGGCGTCCGAGGCCCGTGCACCCTTATTCGAGCATCCCTATGATACGGGCCCACGGTATCTCGGCATCGCTCGGACGTGTGCGTTTTTTCCTTTCGGCGAGGATCATGGGACGACAATTGTTGTATCATCCAGCGGAAAATCAACGCACGAAGCCGACGAGCGCACGGGGAGCGGACGTCGGTTCATGTCTGCCATAGGCAGGACTGGGGAGAAGGGAGAACGGGGAGGACCTCCTGGTTCCTGGCTCGTGGCGTCTGGAGTGTCCGCCGGGTGGAGCCCCCCCGAGGTCCTCCTCCTCCTCCTCCCCCTCCTCCCTCCTCCTCCTCAGTCTCCCCTCCTCCCCCTCCTCCCCCTCCTCCTCCGCCTCCTCCTCCTCCTCCTTGTCCTCCTCCTCCTCCTCCCCGTCCTCCTACCTCGTGGCAGCGGTGGTGGAAAATGGGCCCATCAGTCGAGGGGAACAGCACGCCGACCATGGCCAAAGCCCAGCCCCCCTACATTCGGCCACGTGCATAGGGGGGGGGGGGCAGGGGCAGGCAGGACGGCTCCTTGGGAGGAGGCTGCTGCTTAGAAGGCGCGGGCCTTGTCTGCAGATGTAGGGCTGGCGCCTTCTAAGAATATCAGCCTCCTCCTAAGAAGCCTTCCCCTCTCACACCCCAAAACCCCTTGTGCGCGGCGCCACAACGTATCATGGCGCCAGCGACGCAGAGCGGATTCCGTTCGGAAAACGACAGGATGGGCCCAGAGTGTCCTGGAGAATTTCGTTCCGGGTTTCGACGTGAATTTCGTGCGGATTGGTGTTGGCCAGGAATGAAGACTAACAACACATCCACGCGACTTTCACCTCGTTTTTCGCCCGCCGTTTCGGGGTTTTGCCTTGGCAGAAATCCACGCGCAAATCCGCTGCAGGTCTGCAAGGTCGGTGCAGCGACTCGTGCGCGCCGCCGCAACGAATCCAAAGAGCGAGTGCGGGGGCTCGTCGCCGTTTTCCGGCGTCCGGGGGCTCCTCGTCGGGCCCCGCGGGGGGCCGTCGAGAAGGGACTCGGGGGGGGGGGGAGCACCGTCCCGGGGGATAGAGAACGGTCGGGACTTCGAAGCAGGCAGAGCACGCTGACCAGGGCAGCACCCCGAGATCCGAGGCTCCGAGCAAGTTGGAGCGGCCGGGCTTTGTCTCATCGTCGTTGTCGTCGGCGGTGAGCCCCCCGGGGGGGAGGGAGAAGAGGCGTGCCTAATTGAAGGCTCGAGATCAGGAGAGGAAAAAACACACAGACACAATTAATCAATCCCCGATTCCTCAGAAAATATAGGAAAATATGGGAAGTGGGGGGGAAGACAGAAACCCAGAAGATATGGCAAAATATGGGGGATATTTTTATGTGTGTGTATTTATTTGTGTGTCCCAGTTCCTCTTCACGAGAGTCCCCCAGACCTTCTGAGAAGTTTCCGGAGCCTTCCCCGAAGACACGGGGAAGTTCTCGGAAGGCGGGAGGGCTTCCGAGAAGCCCCGCCGCCTTCTCGGATGGCCTTCCGCGGCTCACTTCCCCCCTCCATCGCTCGCCGCCGAGTGCTGCAGCACGAGGTCGAGATGAGAACGGTCCCCGTGTCCGCCAAACCGCCGTTGACAGGGGGCCACGTGCAAACCCTACCCTTAAGTCGGGCACGTCCTCTACACGAGGATTATTCAAAAATAGTCAACAAATAGTCTGGGGACGATTTCTCTAATATTTTTGAACATGTTGTGAGAATTCGTGGTGCATGTTTTATAAACGTTTCGTCCAAAATGCGCCTGTAGGGAAACAGGCCCGACCTAACCCTGCCCCTGCCCCCCCACGATCTCTGAGGGGCAGGGTGGGGTTCGCTTCGCTCGGGAGCTCCCGAACGAAGCGCCCCCCCGCCCTCCCAACCCCGAGAGCTCGCGGGGGGCAAGGGGCAGGGCTCGCGCGTGTGGCCCTCTATAGTTGGGCTCGCGCCCTGGCTCTTCGCGGAGCCCCGAGGGGACAGCGGGAGGGAGGGGGGGGCCGCCGGTGAGGCCCAGCTCGCCGGCGACCGCCGCGTGGATCGCGATCTCGGGAGCCTTGAGACGGGGGTCAATGCAAACAGGGGTCAGCCACGGCACCGGATCCTGCAGGATCCTGCGAAGACCCCCTCTGGCTGACCCGGATTAGCGAGCCGCTCGTGGCCGCGAGGCGGCCGCACATATTGGCTGACCCGGGTTTGCGAAGACCTGCGTTGCAGTTTTTTGTCATGCATTGAAGTTTCTGGTTTCCTGCTGACCCGGGTCTGGATTTACCCGGGTCAGAAGATCCCCGACGATCAATGTTTCGGTTGCGGTCGGACTTGGCAGGCGATCGCAGACATGGATCACGGGGGCGTAGATTGGCGTAAAGTCAGGCTCGTCCCTCTACAGGAGGAATGAACCATAAATAGTCAAAACGTAGTCTTGGGACGATTGCTTAATATCCGTAAGGGCTTCGCCTCCTGCCGCCGGCCCCCTCTCTCAGATAATGAGCGATGCAAGAGCTCAATATGAGGCCTCGGCGCCGCCGTGGAGCAGCATCGGCAAGAGAAATTGAGATTCTGATGATATTGTTGAACTCAGTGTTGCATTTTGAACCTGCCCCCCAATTCTGTGCACTGAGGTTTCCCACAGAATTTCGGACATGTGGCAAATCCCATTGGTTTTTCGACCCTGACTCCGCCGATCTGCGTGAGGGGCGACGCCGAATTTCAGAACTGTTGCAAATCCCATTGGTTTTTCGACCCTGACCCCGCCGATCTGCGTGATAGGTGCCGCCGAATTTCAGTAATGTGGCAAATCCCATTGGTTTTTCGACCCTGACTCCGTCGATCTGCATGAGGGGTGCCGCCGAATTTCAGAAATGTGGCAAATCCCATTGGTTTTTTCGAGCCTGACTCCGCCGATCTGCGTGAGGGGCGACGCCGAATTTTGAGAAATGTAGCAAAATCCATAAGTTGTTCGACCCTGACTCCGCCGATCTGCGTGAGGGGTGCCGCCGAATTTCAGAAATATGGCAAATCCTATAGGTTTTTCGACCCTGACTCCGCCGATCTACATGAGGGTTGCCATCGAATTTCAGAAACGTAGCAAATCCTATGGGTTGTTGGACTCTCACCCCGCCGATCTGCATGAGGGTGCCGCCGAATTTTTAGAAATGTGGCAAATCCCATGGGTCTTACGGTTCTCGGCTACCCCCCCAAGGGCTTCGTACCCCTCATTTTGACGAGTTTGCGAGGCCCCTGGGGGGCTCTCTGGAAAACCCCCTCCCAACAAAGACTTGTTTGGAACCCTCTGGTTGTGTGTGTGTGTGTGCGTGTGTGTGTGTGTGTGTGTGTGTTTTTGCAGCCGCTGCTAGTTTTGGCCTGCGCGTTGCTAATTTGACAGGCCCGTGGCCCGGACCTCTCAGCTCGGCGACTGCGAATCCGCGTCCGCCCGCGAAAAAAAAACGTGTGTGTGTGTGTGTGTGTGTGTGTGTGTTTACCCCGGCCAGCCCCGCCGATAGCACGCAATGTGTGGCGGGCCTCGTTGCACCGCCCGCGTCGCATCGGAGGGCTTTGGTGGAGAGACCCGCGTGGACGCCAGCGCACCTTCTGAGGGCCATCGGAACGTTCAAGTCGCAGGACAAGCCGCGCGAGATTCCCCTGGGGTGCGAGACCCGGTCCCCCCGGGACCCTTGTCCTGTACGCCAGACGGGGGCCCCGGGGGCCAGGGGGGATCTGCACCTTGGGGTTCTGATGTTCCAACTTGCTGCAGCCTTGATTATCGGAAAAGATTTCGAGCACCAGGAACGTACCGAAACTGGAGGGTTTTCGCGTGTCGGGCCCTGGGAGTCGATATTCGTTCGACGCTGTTTCGAGATCTTATTGGGTGCTCGGAATTATTTCAGGGATGTGATCCTCAAGTGTAACTCGGGCGTGTCCTTCTACAGGTGGAAAATTCAAAAATAGTCAACAATACTCTGGAGCAGATTTTTTGAGCATTCTTGCTAGTGTTGATTGCCTTCTGAGCCTGTTTTATGTTTCGTCCAAAATCCGCCTGTAGGGGGGGGGGCATGCCCGACCGAACCTTAAGCACGATGGGAGCAGCCTGGCTCAGGAGGGGAAACAACACACAGACACAATTAATCATCCACTCCTCGGAAAATATGGGGAAGTATGGGAAGTGGGGGGGGAGACAAAAACCCAGAAAGTACAAGAAGATATGGGGAATATTTTTATTCGTGTGTATTTATTGAATCGCTTCGCTCATTCCGCCGGCCCATTTCGCATGACTGAGCCTCTTGGGGCCGCTGGGGGGCCTCTTCAGCGTCGCTTGGGGGCCTCCTGAGGGCCTCTTGGGGGCTTTTGGGGCCTCTCAGGGGCCTATTGAGGCCTCCTGGGGGCTTCTTAAGGCCGAGGGATCGAAGTTTTGTTTTGTGTTCCCCCTTTGGGGCATCGCTTGGGGCCCTCTTGGGCCCCTCTTGGGCCGTCTTGGATGCCTCTGGGACCGTCTTGGAGCCCTCTTGGGCCATCTTGGGGCCTTCTTGGGAGCTTCTTGGGCCCTCTTGGGGCGATCTTGGGGGCCTCTTGGGCCGTCTTGGGGCGTCGGGAAACCGAAAAGATGGACACGCTAAAATCTGCCCAAAACCTAGGGAAAAGTAATGAATTTTGCCTCTTGGGCCCTCTGGGGAGTGCTCTTGGAGGCCTCTTGGGGCGTCTGGGGGCCATCTTGGGCGTCTTGGAACGATCGTGTGGCATCTCGGAGCACTCTTGAACCATCTTGGAGGGCTCTTGGCGGCCTCGTGGCCCTCCTTGGGGCTCTCTGGAGGGCCACGGGGGCGGCGCCCAGGAGGAACACCATCTCTGACCCGAGTCTGCCGGGGATCGCCCGGGGTACTTTTCGTCCGTGGACCCCCAGGGGCCGCCCCGCGCGTGCGAAGTAGAAGTATTATTTAGCAGTTGCCGGAGATCTTAGCACGCCTCTGGCCCGTTGGGCCGGCGAATTCGTGTGTCCCAGGGCCCCTTCACTTGCCCCGGGGCGGAGATCCGGGACTGGATGACTCCCCTCCCCGGAGCTGGCCCGCCCCGGGCGTGGCCCCCTCAGCGTGAAGTCGGGCACGTCCCTCTACAGGACGAAATAGTCGAAATCAATCAGAAGATAGTCTGGGGACGATCTCTCTTACTATTTATGACCATTTGGGGTATTTCTTGGCTATTTTCTTTTTCATTGTTCGTCCAAAGTCTGCCTGTAGGAGGACATGCCCGACCTAACCTCTGGGGGGGGGCGGCCTAGCCCTGGCAGGTTCAAGTCGGAGGACACGTTCTCGAAGGCAGTGCGCCACGTCGTCGCCGGGGTGCTCGACGACCCTGACGTGCGCGCCCTCCGCAGCGCGTTCGTGGCGCTGGACTTGGACGGCAACGGGCTGCTGTCGCCGCGCGAGCTGCAGGACTTTGCCGGGCGGTCCTGGGTCCATGTGTGACGGCCCCAGGGCCCGATGCTGGGCCCCAGAGCCGAAATCTCGAGGAGAAGCGCTCACATTGAACACAATATGAGATGGTGCATAACGGTCGTTTCCCGGGCCAAAGTTCCCCTTCCCCAGGGTAACAGCAATGATCGTGATGTCAGTGTGTGATGAACAAGGGTGCTTTCTCCTGGGGCTGATGAATTGACCCCGCGGGGCGCGACATTCTTTGATAATCACGCGTGCAAGGGGGGGGAGGAGAGAGGAGGGAGGAGAAGGAGGAGGAGGACGAAGAAGAGGAGGAGGAGGACGAGGACGAGGACGAGGACGAGGAGGAAGAGACGGAGGAGGAGGAAGAGGAGGATGAGGAGGAGGAGGAGGAGGAGGAGGTGGAGGAGGAGGAGGAGGGGGAAGGGGGGGGGTAAGAGGGGCCAGGAGGAGAGGAGGGGGACGGGCCAGCAGGGGGAGGAGGAAACCAACGACGACGGCCACGACGATGACGGCGGCGGCGGCGGTGGCGACGACGACCACGACAAAGGGGGAGAGAAGGACTGCCCGCCTTGCTCGGGTCGGCTGAAAGCCCCAGGGGAAGGAACGGGGGGGGTGCGAAGCATGCTGCGCGCAGCTGGTTTCGGTCGCCCCGCCGAGGGGCCAGTCCTCGACGCACGGCCGCCTTCGGCGCCAGGAGGCGCATTGGAAAGCAGCGGCGTGAGCTGCTTGGCAAATCCCCACTTTGCCACGCCTCCCTTTCGTCCAGTCCCCGGCGCGACCCTGCCGCATCGGGTCGACAGCAAAGGGGGGCGCCCTGGCTCGCCCTTGGCCTCCCGCCCCCCCCCTCCCCCAGTCTGTGCTGCCTGTCGCCTTCTCGCTGGCGGCCGGGCGTCGGCGCTAATCACCGGCGCCGCCGTTGGGGGTCAATGCAATCGGGGGTCAGCCAGAGCGCCGGATCTTGCAGGATCCTGCAGGGCCTGGGTCGCACTGACCTGGGCTTTGGCGCAGGATCCTGCAGGATCCTTCGCATGGGCCCGGGCTTGGGCGCAGGATCTTGCAGGATTCTGCAAGGTTTGACCGACCCGGGTCTGGATTGACCTGGGTCACAAGATCTCCGGTTTTCAATATGGCGGGCGCCACCCTGCGATCCGCCCGATCACGGAAATTATTGTTGTTTCAACCGCGTGCCCCATACGGAATTGCTTATCACAAGCTTGACATTGGGGCAGGAGCCCGGACTCCCTGCCATGCTGGTGCTCGCGCCCGATCGCAGCGCAGCCCCGTCCAGGCGTGCCCCTCGTGGCTCCAGCGTCACCCAGACCATGGGCCCCAACCTCCCGCCCCGATTACGGTAAGTTCATGCGGCGTTGGCGCGCCGACGACGCGGGCGAAGGCGTTCAAGGTTGAAGTCCGTGACGCGGAATCACCAGGGGACGCAGTGATGCCGTTGTACTCGACGGAATTCATCTTTGAATGATCGGGGCCGCGATCAATTGAAGGTTGAACGATCGACGCGGTGTCACAAACCTTCGCGCGCGCCGACGCCGCACGAACATACCGTAAAGACTGTTGCCATGAAAAACAGAAAACTATCTCCACTTCGTCGGAGATTCTGGAACCTCGAGCCTCGCCTGGGGACGTTTGGCCCCGCCGTCGCTGACCCGCTGCTGTCGCCACGAGCGCCCCCGCAGGAAGTCCGAGCTTTGCTCAAAAGGAGAGCTATAGTTGAGACAACGGCAGTTGACTTTCGTGGGCCCTCGTCGCCTTTTGTGGGGGTCCAATGTATACGCCGCTCTTTGAAAAGATGCATTTTTGGACTCGCAGATCCCAATCCACTCCAAGCGCCTTCCTATTTCAAGATTCGAGATGCCTGTGCTGCTTTCTCTTAGTTTTCGGTGGACCCGAACCCAATCAACGTTATCCGCCTTTCTTGTCTTGTGTTGGTACGTACTTTTCCCGACCGACGGGTATCCCTATCATATCCACCGTCGGCCGAGGCTTCCCAAGGGTCGATCCCCGGGGCGGTCACTCTGGATGAATCGCAAGGGAGCGCCCCAGATCCTCGACGGTACGGTTTTTGACCATCTAAATGTTTTTCATCGTTCTGACCTCCGCCAGCTTGCTATCGTCATGGAAGATTCTGACGGACAGCTCTCTGCGATTATCTGCATTTGGTGGCCCTCGCTGGGCCCCGGGACCGTCAAAAACGGCTCGGGTTGAACATTTGGCCTTGCGGAAGGGGTCTAGAAATTCCGGGCCCACGTTGCGAACAAAAAATGACGTCGGCGTTCCAAAAAGGGTCAAGGTTGGAGGTTTTCGAACGCTTCCATTGATTCTCGATGGTTTTCCAGCTTCGGAGTACTGTCCAGCGGTTGCGCCTCGCCGAGAGCGTTCTGGGGGGGGGGGCCTGGGTCGTCCCGAACGGCCGCTGGGGGCCCGAGTCCGACGATGCGGTTGAGCACAATCCGTGCGTTTTTGGTACGGTTTTATGAATTCGGAACACATGTCGGGGCCCGGGGGCCATCATAGATGCAATTAGGACGAGTTAGCTGGTTCGAGCGGCCCCCACCCCAGAACGCAAGGCGGGATAGCCCTGGGAGCACCGGGGCCCTTGGGGTCTGGCTGCCGCGGTATGCAGTCGTCATTCGTCGAAGAGGTGAGGCAGGATACCCAGGTATCATTTGGACCTTGAGTGGGTGGTTCAAAGATGTGGTCCTAAGGGATGGGGTCCTCAGTGGTAGCAGGGTATTCAAGGGTGGATTTGCATGAGGCACCTCGTCCTCAGGACCCCATCCTTCAGGACCCCATTTTTCAGGACCCGACTTGGGGCCTGGCGGCCGCCGTATGCAAGGTATCTATCCTCTCTACGACCATGGATTCTCATGTTTTTCGAGCCGAGTCGGGCGGTCCCGGGCCCCAGGACCCTCACATACCGATTCGGCTCGAGAAATACGTGGCGCATAAAGAGGGGGCCTTGGGCTCGCCTCGATTTGTTCCAAGACTTCGGATCTCAGGGCCTTCGAGCCAGTCCCACCCCCCCTCCTCCTCCTCCTCCTCCTCCTCCTCCTCCTCCTCCTCCTCCTCCTTCTCGCTCCCTCGCTCCTCGCTCCTCGCTCCTCCTCGCTCCTCCTCCTCCTCCTCCTCCTCCTCCTCCTCCTCCTCCTCCTCCTCCCTCCTCCTCCTCGCTCCTCCTCCTCCTCCTCCTCCTCCTCCTCCTCCTCGCTCCTCCTCCTCCTCCTCCGCCTTCCCTTTCCTCCCCACACCCTCTTTCCGTTCCTGCGCCGTCCTGGGTTCCGAGGGAGCCACGGAGCGACGGGGGCCGGGGCTCGCGGCACGGCCTCGGCTGACCCCGGGCCAGCGTTAAGTCGGGCCTGTCCCTACACAGGAGGAGCATCCCAAAAGAGTCAACAAATACCATTGGGACGATTTTGGTTGAGTATTTTCCCCAACCCTCCTGCGTTGGGTTCTCGTTTCGAATAGAGCACTGCTCGCGCGTCTCATTTCTTCCTTCCCGCCCCTCTCTTCCCCGTTGCCTTTTGCCTCGCTCGTCACTGCGTGCCAGCTGGGGGGCTGCGATCTGTGAAACTGTCGCCACTTTCGAGGCCTGCTGGGGGGCCCAGCACAGTGGGTACTCACCGCAGACTCAAATGGGACCTCGCCTTCCCTGGGGGGCTGCGATCTGTGAAACTGTCGCCACTTTCGAGGGCTGCTGAGGGGCCCAGCACAGTGGGTACTCACCGCAGACTCAAATTGGACCTCGCCATCCCTGGGGGGCTGCGATCTGTGAAACTGTCGCCACTTTCGAGGGCTGCTGAGGGGGCCCAGCACAGTGGGTACTCACCGCAGACTCAAATTAGACCTCGCCATCCCTGGGGGGCTGCGATCTGTGAAACTGTCGCCACTTTCGAGGGCTGCTGAGGGGCCCAGCACAGTGGGTACTCACCGCAGACTCAAATTAGACCTCGCCATCCCTGGGGGGCTGCGATCTGTGAAACTGTCGCCACTTTCGAGGGCTGCTGAGGGGCCCAGCACAGTGGGTACTCACCGCAGACTCAAATTAGACCTCGCCATCCCTGGGGGGCTGCGATCTGTGAAACTGTCGCCACTTTCGAGGGCTGCTGGGGGCCCAGCACAGTGGGTACCCACCGCAGACTCAAATTAGACCTCGCCATCCCTGGGGGGCTGCGATCTGTGAAACTGTCGCCACTTTCGAGGCTGCTGGGGGGCCCAGCACAGGGACCCACACGCGATTCAAATTAGACCTCGCCATCCCTGGGAGGCTGCGATCTGTGAAACTGTCGCCACTTTCGAGGCCTGCTGGGGGGCCCAGCACAGTGGGTACTCACCGCAGACTCAAATTGGACCTCGCCATCCCTGGGGGGCTGCGATCTGTGAAACTGTCGCCACTTTCGAGGCCTGCTGGGGGCCCAGCACAGTGGGTACCCACACGCAGATTCAAATTAGACCTCGCCATCCCTGGGGGGCTGCGATCTGTGAAACTGTCGCCACTTTCGAGGCCTGCTGGGGGGCCCAGCACAGTGACGCCACACGCAGATTCAAATTAGACCTCGCCATCCCTGGGGGGCTGCGATCTGTGAAACTGTCGCCACTTTCGAGGCCTGCTTGCGGGGCCCAGCACAGTGACGCCTCCCAAGTAGCTTACACATCAAGTTTATTGTCCATACAAGTTTCGGCCAACTCCTCGTTCCCATTGATACAAATGGGTTGGGTACGTCACAGGATAATTTTAGCCATGTTGGAGTCTTTTCTGATTATTTTGCATTTCTCGTCCAAAGCCCTCTGTAGTAGGACAGGTCCGCCTCAAGGCTAGCGCGTCCCAGGCGAAGTGACCACACACCGTGTGGTGAGTCCGTGGGCGCGGCGGCCGCACGGTTTGGGGGACTTGTGTCGTTCTCCGTGTACGTCTCGGGCTACGGGGGCCTCCAGAGTCACAGGGCCGTGCGGTGGAGTTTCTGGAGGGGTCTCGTGGTCGCCTTCCGGTCTGCCACAACACTGTCTAGGGACCCCCAAGTCAACGGCACGTCCTCCCTTCCTTCCGGTCCATCCCCATGTGATGGGCCTGTTTTCCACCACCACCACCACCACCACTACCACCATCACCACCACCACCATAAGTTGAAGGGGGAGGGAGAGGGAGGGGAGAAGGGGGAGGAGGAGGAGGAGGAGGAGGAAGAGGAGGAGGACCCCTTCCCCCTCCAACTTATGGTGGGGCCCAGCCCCGCTACCGACGCTTGTGGGTACGTGCGGGCACGCTTAATTAGGAGTGACCTCCCCCCTGCATGCATGAGCGGAGACAGCCAGGCCATCCAGCAATGCTGCCTTTGACGGGCTGGATGCACGATGATCTTCGGACACCTTCCAAATGGGATGCTGCTGCTCGAGGGTCCATCTCTGAACTTAGCCCGACACTTGTGACGCCTGAGCCACAGTGACTATATACTCACGCTGGCGCACGCGCCTCCCCCAGCTCTTGGGATCCGACGCTGGGATCAGAAAACAGCATCGCGAAAAATCACGGCTAGAGCCGTAGACCCCATCTTTCTGCAGCATTTGGCGAGCCAGACCGATTTGTGGTGGTCCTGGGGCCCGAAAGCGCGCGAAACCGACCGTTGCTCACAAAGTACGACGCCGGGATCTCAGGGCATCCCTCCGTGCCCCCCTGTATCCGTCCCTCCCTGGCCTTGGGGAGACGCTGCCCGTGGCGCCCGGCCGGCAGGCAAAGGTCGGCGACGTGCGGAGGGGGGTAGGGGGAGGGGGGAAGGCTTCTTAGAAGCACCCTGCTTCTTAGAGGGCGCGGGCTCTGCCTGCAGGTAGGTGCAAGGCCGGCGCCTCCTTCTAAGACGCAGCCTCCTCCTAAGAGGCCTTCCCCACCCGCCCCTTACCCCGCCTCTGCGCGCCGCCAGAAAGATGCGTGTTTTTGTTATTGCTTGGGGCATGATGGGCATTATAGCCCCCAGCCCCCCCTCCCCCCCCCCTCCCTTAAGCGTAACGCCCTTCCCCCCCCAGTGCGCTCCGGGCGCTGCCGCCGTGCGCACGGCGGGGGGGAGGCGTTACACTACACCCCCCTTGGCCCCTCCCCTCCCCTCTAATGCCCACTATCGCTGAAAATAAAAAGAAACGCGCTCCAGAAAGGAGGGCCTCCGGCGCAGTGGCCTCAGCATCTCGGAGCAGGAGCTGCTCGAGATCCTCGAGGGCATGGACGTCAACGGCAACGGCGCCCAACTCTCTCAGGATGAAAATAACACACAGACACAATCAATAGTCGAGTACACAACGAGAATATGCGAAAATCTGGGAAGGGGGGGGGAAGACAAAACTCAAAAACAAATGTAGCACCCCGCAGTTGCGGATAAGAGTGAGGGGGCGGCGGGGACGCTTGCAGTCTGCGAGGCTCTGAAGAAGCCCGCCGCAGTCGCAAAACTTTCATGCTATACAACAAGCCCGCCGCAGGCGCCGATTCCTTGTTAAAACAATGTAGGTGGATCGCGGGTTGGGTCTCAGGTGGGTCGACGGTGGGTCGCGGGCCAGGTAGAGGGTGGGTCGCGAGCGGGTCCCGGGTGGGTCGCGGGTGGGTCGCGGGGTGGGTCGCGGGTGGGTCGCGGGCCAGGTCGCGGGGGGGACGACGACAACAAACAACAACAACAATTACAACAACAACCACAACAACAACAACAACAACAACAACACCAACAACAACAACAATTACAACAACACCAACAACAACAATAACAACAACACCGACAACGACAACGACAACAACAACAACAACAGCAACAGCAACAGCAACAACAACAACGCAACAAGCAGAATCCTCACCACTGATCCGCACTTCAGCCACGCAACCAAGGGGACAATGAGTGACCGTTCGGGTCCCTCGCTCTGATGAAAGATATGAGGACTCCTAGGAGTTGTGTGTATTTACTTGTGTATCCCTGGGCCCATTCAAACTCTCGGGGAAAGAGGGGCGGCGCCACACTTCTAGGGGGGGGCACCGCACCTCCGGCCAGGAGGGCCACGAGGCCTCCCCGAGCAGTTTGAGGAGGGGGAACAACAACACACATGCACAATTCATTGTCGATTTCCCCAGGAAATATGGGAACACATGGGAAGTAGGGGGGGAGACGAAGATCCAGAAATTATGAGAAGATATGCGGAATCCTGGGATTCCCTGGGCCCCTTCAACGATGTCTCCCCGAGCAATGGTTCATGCCGACTCCTCCGCTTCGATTCGATCCGAATTCGATCGACGCCGGGATTCCGATCCGATTCGTTTTTGGACTCCGACTCGGATTCCTCCGACTTCTCGATGCAGGCCTGCGAGGCTGCCGACTTCCACCGGTTCGACTCCTCCCGACTCGGCTGCTGAAGTCTGCCGATGCGATTCATTCGATCGTCGATCCGACTTATTCGGTTTTGGGCTCTCCTGTCGAGCTGGGGACAGGGGACCCCTCATAGCTACTCTCGCTGGTGGTAATTCTGCTTGGCGCCTCGGCGTCCCCTCCGCTGCGCCTCTGGTGGCGCCGCGTATACGCGGAGCCACTGGCCGCTTGCGACTTGCGTTGGGTCGGGCGTGTCCCCCCACATTCGGGTTTTGGACGAAACATGAAGGAACATCACATTTAATCATCAATCGTCAAAAATAGTTGGAACATTATCACCTGCCTATGTTTGGGGTATTTTTGAATATTCCTCCAGCAGAGGGGCAGGCCCGACGCAAAAGGTCGCTTGCCGCTTGCCACCTGCGGTGGCCCAGGCCGTCGCCCAGGAGCTCGGCAGCGGAGGCCGAGGCCTCTCTCTCGGAGCTGGCGCGCGGGAGAGGGGCGGACAATGCAGAGGAGGGCGAGTTGAGACAACGGCAGGGTCAAAGTCGGGCGCGTCCCTATACAGGAGGAGTCTTCAGAGTCAGCCAAACAATAGTCGGTGGACGATTTGTTCACAAAGTTGTTTGACCTTTTTGACATATGTTTTCCTGTTTCGTCCAAAAAATAGCCTCAACATAGTATGGGGACGAGTTTTCATGTAAAGTACTATACGACCATTTTGCAGTATTTTGGGGGTGTTTTTTTTATATTTTCGGCCAGAATCCCCCACGTGGGCCGACTTAATGGTAGGGGCCGCCGTCGTCGCCACGGCTGGGCGCCGCTCGGGAACCTGGTGGGCTTGGACCCCGGAAGGGGGTCGGGGAGCGATTTCGAGTTGGCGTTGTCTCGAGTGGCCCTGCTCCGAACACAGGCAGTCGAAGCCTGCGGCCAAAGGGCTCGTGTTCGAGCGCCCAGCGGCAGTCGCGCAAGCCAGCTGAGCTGACGGGAAGACGGTGGGCAAGTGGCGTGGCAGGCGGGGCCAGCACTTGGCCGTATACCTCGCGGGAGCGGGTGAGCGCCCTGGAGGCCTGCGAGGGTCGCGGAGACATGCAGCATGCCATCGTCATGCGCTCCAGTCTTTCCCCCACCCTTTCTCGGAAGCCGGGCAAGGGCTGCTAAATCCGTGGCTGCGAAAATCGACCTCCGGGAAGTTGTCTTCGTCCTTCCGGGAAGAAGCCCGTTGACTGTTTCGCGTGCCGCGCCTCATTCCTGGAAGTTGTTTTTTTCCTTCTGGGAGGGCCGTTTTAGCAGCCACGGTTTTAGCAGCCCTCGCCCAGCTTTCGACTTTCCCCCCCTCAATATTTTCTTTGCGCAGAATATCACGATTGCCTGGCCAGGTGCCATTGAGTACACGGAGTTCCTGGCCGCCGCCGTCGACACGAGCAAGTGCCGGGGCGAGGGCATGTGCCAGTACGCCTTCGACGTGTTCGATTGGGACGGTGACGGGCAGATCTCCCTCCAGGACCTCTGGGCAGGGAAGGGCACGGATCTGAAGGTGGAGGAGGAGGGACAGGGCGGAGAAGAGGGGAGGGCGACGAGGAGGAGGGGCAGGACCTTTTCTTCTTACCTTCCCTTCGCGGAGTGAATCTAAGGGAGGCGAGCTGAATTAGCCAGCAACCGATCTTCGGGCCATGCCCAAAGCGTTGCCGATGCAAATGCCCGAGCATTTCCGTTGGGTGGAGGGCAAAGGGTGAAGTCTGAAGTGCCGTTTCGATTGATTTTCGAGGCTTGAGTCTGCAAAAGGCGAGTCGCAAGACGGACCGATCCTCGAGGTGCAAAAAAGCCCGTACGAATTTCACCCTGAGCCCTCCACCCCAGGGAAACTCTCAGAACGCGGCTCCGGGGCGGGGGGGCGGGGGAGACGGGGCCCCAGGAGCCCGCGCGTCGGCAGGGGCCTCCTTGGCCGCCGCAGGGGAGCACGGGCGGTGGCGGAGGAGGCGGACGGGGAGCAGCAGCAGCAGCACAACGACAAGGGCGGAGGCACGGAGCGGCCAGAGGACGATGGTGATGGTGCTGATGTTGGTGCTGATGATGATGTTGATGCTGATGTTGATGTTGATGTTGATGATGATGATGATGTTGATGTTGATGTTGATGATGCTGATGCTGATGATGGTGCTGGTGATGTTGATGATGATGGTGATTGTGATGGTGATGATGATGATGCTGATGATGGTGATGATGCTGATGCTGATGCTGGTGATGGTGCTGGTGATGGTGATGGTGATGATGGTGGTGGTGGTGGTGATGTTGATGATGATGATCATGGTGGTGATGATGTTGATGGTGATGCTGGTGATGTTGATGAGGCTGGTGATGGTGAAGTTGCTGCTGATGATGATGTTGATGATAATGGTGATGATGATGATGATGATGATGATGATGATGATGCTGATGCTGACGATGATGATAATGCCGATGATAATGAACGTCACCATCACCATTATCATCATCATCATCATCACCATCATCATCATCATCACCATCATCATCATCATCGTCATCCTCATCATCATCATCATCATCATCATCATCATCATCATCATCATCATCATCATCATCATCATCATCATCATCGACATCGACATCGACATCGCCATCATCATCGTCGGATGCCTGTGGCCAGTCCAGCGCCGCGCTGCATCCGAGCCCCCGCTTGCGATCTCTGGGAGCTGCCCTGCCGTATGCGCGGAGCTGGGGACGGTCGGGCACTTGATATGGGTCTGCCCAGTGCTGGACAGTCTCCGCAGGCAGTGGAGGCTGGACGACCAGAACATCAACTACTTCCTCAACTCGGGTGGCCCGTTGGAGGCAGACGTCGAGCACGCCATCAGGTCGCGTTGCCTGGTCAAGGACCCGCGAAGCGACCACCCGGTGCGGATTGTTCGCACCGCAGGGCCCCGAGCGGGCGAACCCCTGCGCGGCGAGGTCTTTATGGACGGGTCGGCCTTTCACATCCGGGACCGCGTCTTGGCGCGCGCTGGCTGGGCGGCTCGCCACACCGACCACATGGGCGTGGAGATCTCCGGCATATTCGGGCCAGTTCCGTGGCCATGGCCGCAGGAGTCAGGCTCGGGCGAGCTGCTGGCCGCGGTGGAGGCGCTGGCCCATTACCTCCCGCCGATCCGCCTCTTCAGCGACTCGCAGCTGCTGGTCGACGGCTGGGAGGCGGGCGAGGATTGGTGCACGTATTGGAACCGCCCCTGCAAGCAGCTCTGGATCTCTTTCTGGTCGAGAGCTCGCGACGTAGGCATCGACGTGATCCAGATCACGAAAGTCTAGGACCACGCCACCATGAACGACGTCCACCGAAGCGCCTCGTCTGAGTGGCAGAGGAGAGGCAATCGTGCTGCCGACGCTCGTGCCAAGGAGTGCGCGAGCTGCCATCCGTTCTTTCCCGCGCTCGCCGAAGCCGCCGCGCTCGCTGATGAGTGGGGTGTTAATTTTGGGCGGTGGACGGGGTTGGCGCTTCAGGAAGGCGACGGGCGGCTTCGGGCGAGCGACGGCCATTCGGCCCCAGGGTTGCAGGCAGTTCGGTGCTCGGTGGACGGGCGTTGCCAGAAAATGCTTGCGGCCTGCTCGCCTGGCCATGCCGGGCCCTGCAGCAGGCACGGTTCATCGATTCTTCTTTCGACGGGGGGCCGCTCGTGGAGCTGCGCCGACTGCGCAGCGCGCGGCACGCCCCTTCCCGCTTCCCCCCCCCGCCCCCGCCCCCGCCGCCGCCGCCGCCGCTCTCGGGCGGAGAGGGGCAGCAAGGCAGGCCCTCCGCCGCGCTTGGCTTCGCCCTCGGCCTCAGCGCGGCGGGCGCCGCCGCGGCAAGGGGGGTGGGAGGGGCGGGGGGCGAGGGGGAGGGAGGAGCAGCAGCAGCAGCAGCAGCAGCCAGCGCAGGGCAGCAGCAGCAGCAGCAGTCAGCCAGCCTCTGCCAGTGCAGCGGTCCAGCCACCAGGGGGGGGGCCACGCTCAGGGGGGGCGGGGTCCTGGGGCCCGCTCGGTCTGGAGTTGCCTCCCTGGTGGAACGCGCGATTCGATAGTTCTCACAGGGTGTGCCGTGCCAGCGGCCTCGCCTTCTGCGCGGTTTGTGGAGCGCGCGCCCAGTCGGCGAGAGTGAAGTGTTTAGTTGAGCCCTGTCCTGAACGGCCCGCGCCAGAGCGGCTTCGGGACGGGCTCCGCAGAACGAAGCGCGGCCTGCGCCCCGCCCGAGGTGGGGCAGCGGCCGACCTCTGCGCCCCAGTGGCCCTCCCTCGGCGAGATCGGTCGAGGTCGAGAGGACAGGAGGGAGCGAGAGGGTGAATGTAGCTGTGCCGGGGGCATCAGCGACAAGGCGGTAACCCTTCAGGGGGGGGGGGGCGGAATCCTCGCCATCATCATCGAAGAGATGGAGGGGCAGGCACCACGCAGAGGGCGGACGGCAACAGCGGCAGAAGTGAGGCGGTACGGATCTCGGCCTCGTTCATCCCGCACCCTTCTCTCCTCCGCAGTGCTTCGCGTTGCCCAGCCTTGCCCCCGTGCGCCCCCGCGGGGTGCGACAGGGCAAAGTTATGTATCAGGAAACGGAATGGAGGAGGAGGAGGAAGAGGAGGATGAGGAACAGGAGGAAGAGGAGGAGGATGAAGAGGAGGAAAAGGAAGGCCACGGTAAGCCAGCAGGCGTCCACGATGCTGCAAACCGCCCTCTTTGTCCCAAGTCTTTTCCACGCGTGCTATTTCAGGGGCTCCTTATTTCTCACTGCTGGAAGCGCCGGCCTGAACTACGAGCGCATCGCGGGCCTGCGATTCAGTGGATTGCCCCGTTTCAGCCACGAACAGAGGGGGGCGGGGTGAAAAGGGGGGGCTTCTCAGAAACACCCCCGCTTCGTAGGAGGCGCGGGCCTTTTCTATAGATGCATGGCGGGCGCCTTCTAAAAACCAGCCTCCTTCTGAGAAGACCCCCCCCTCCACCCTCTTTCATGCGATCGCAAACGTGGATTGAGAGGGCGTGGATTACCGGCGGGCCCCGTTTCCATGGCGCATCAAAATTTCCGCCGCCCAGCGAGGCGGCACCGGCCTAATTCTGGGGAGGGCGCTTCCCCCGATCCATGGATTCGGCGACCGCGCGCCAAATCCATGCATCGCTAATCCATGTTTCCGCGCCCCCGACCCTTGTGCGCGCTGCCAACTGTTCTGAGGCGGATCTACACTGCGGCCCCTGTGAGTCGCTCGGGCGCGTGCCCTTGTTTCCCTCGGCGAGGCCAAAGCCAAAAGACATCTGACCATCAGGTGGCCTCCTCGGACCACCTCGAGAAGCAAAAACGCACGAAAGTGATCGTGTTGTCATGTATTGTTTTGCCGATCGGCGCGGGCCCCAAAGCCCTCCCCCCCCCGCCCCCGCTGGAGTGATCTTGGCTGGTTTTTGGCGCTTGTTTCGAGCAGGCGGGGCCTCCGCCCATTTGGACGCGCGCTTTCGAACAGGGCCATCCAGGAGCCTCTTCGGACCCCCATCGAGAGAAACAGTCGCGCACGAAGCCAAACAGTGCGCCGGGGGTGGACGCCCGAGCGATGGAAATGCCCGTCAAGTTATATATATATATATATATATATATATATATATATATATATAAGTCGGGCCTGTCTTTCTACAGGGGGAGTATGCAAACATAGTCAACCTATTGTCTGGGGACGATGTGTTGGGGCATTTGTTAGACAATTTGCGGGCATGTTTTGACGTTGTATTTTTCGTTCGAAATCCGCTTGCACGGGGGGGCGTGCCCGACCTGAAGCGGCACCCGAACGCAGGAGTACTGCGTATATTGCGCGATGCGCATATCAGTGCGGGGCCCCCAAGCGAGCGCGATGCGCGCAGCTGATCGGAGTGGCCCACTGCAGCCACTCGGCGCAAGCCACTTCACCACGACAGGTTCTCTGACCATTTGATCCGCTGCGTCGCCTCGCGCGACGCGTTCGCCGGTTGGATGGACCTCCGAGACTTGCTGGAAAAATTGGCCGCTGGAGATCCACGAGCAATGGCACATTCATCACTTGGGTGTCATCAAGATGTGCCTCCGAGGCCGGCGCTGGGCGCATCCCAGCCTCTGCGGGATGTTCGACAACAGCTCCGGCATGCAGAAGAACCGACTTCAGGTGAAGAAGATCAAGTTTTGCGGGGGAGCCCGCCCGGCGTATTTCTTGCGTCCCAGTGGTGGGCCAGACTGGTTCGCGCGCGGAGTTCACGCCGCGGCGGCCGGCGCGGGGGCGCCATGTTATCGCCGCGCGACGGCGATGGGCGCAGCGGCTCCTGTCAGAACAAATCGCTTTGGTCCGAGCCTTCATTGCTATGCGACGCACAGGCGCCCGAATAATGACGAGGTCTCACAAGACGGACGGATCCAATCTGCTTGGCACCGCGGCGCGCGATGGCCCCCCGTCATGCAAGAACGAGCGTGGCGACGCTGCGAGACATGCCCACTCGGCAAGTGCGCTGCGTCCACTTTGACCC